TTCAGATTGTTCTTGTTGATCAGCACATGATTCAGGAGCAGGAGTGCCTTCACGAGATTGACGTGGTGAATCTGGAGGGGAGGGAACCACGTCAATGTTCGGTAGGTCTCCTTGATTTTGATGGATTTGATTTTCATGGTTTCCCAATGTGTTATCACTGTTATTGTTGTTGTTGTTGTTTGACATGTTGATAAAGACGAATAAAACGTAGCTTCAAAGAAAAGATTATCAGTTTCCCGGTAACGGAACCAATTTGTTTAACCAAAAATATGATTCTTTGGTCAAAGCTAAAGACAAATAGAAATTCGGGCTACTGATAATCAGGAGACGAAAAAGAAATAATAGACTTTTTGAGAATGACAAATAAGCAGTAAATAGGTTTGTATTCCAATGTAATGTTGATGATATCCTCTGTCCTTACAAATGACGAGACCTCCTCCTTTTATAGTTGATTCTAAGTAAAGGAGTAATACCTTAGTCTTAATGAGACAATTATGAGCAATAAATGACATTAAATAAGACGTTACACAATCATTCCTATTTAATACCAATTCTCTAACGTATTGGGTATTTAATATTGAATTTGGACTCCTTTTCGTCATCATATCCATGTCTTCAATGCCTTCTAATCTCTTGGCTTTAAATGACCTAAATAGGTACGAAGCTTGTATTATTCGAATTGTCTCTCGTGCCTATTTAGCTTTCCTTTCCTCGTATCTGTTGTCACTCGTGCCTCTTAACTGATCATCATGTTTTGACCATTTGACCAGTCCTCGTGTCATGTCACGTCACCTTCAATGTAAATTCAGTTTTTTCCCAATACAGTTACTCCAAAGCTTCCCGTGATATCTCGGGTAACAGATGTTAGCTCTAAAAATAAAAGAGTAAAATATACACGGAGATATCTAAAGTTATCACGATTTTCATTTAATTAGACATCTTAACTAGGCCTTGTTTCAACAGTGGCCCTACTTAGAAATACATTATGCTTGTGTCTATAAGCGCTCCTTAGGTGAATAATTAGCCAATTAAATTACTTTAGTATGAAAGATTTACCTAAGAAAGAAGTATGAAAAGCTGACCAGAAGAAGTGTGAAAATGATATATTTCAAGTGTAGCCAATGATTTAATTGGCTAATTATTAAAAAAATCTGTAGGAGGCGTAACCTAAAGGGCAAATACCAAATATGGGGTGGGAAACAAAAAAAAATGTAATCCAGTTTTATGAGAAGCACATCTTTATAATTAATAGCCATGCCATATTAAAAAATATAAAATAATCAAAATTATGATATAAAATTAATTCTAAAATTACACTTAGATGAAATACTTCAATCAAACACAAAATAGCAAATATCTCACTTTGTATCTTGAAATTATTTTCGTTACTTCTAATACCATACGACAACTAAATACAGTAAAACTGTTAGCTTTTCCTTATATATTTAAACAACAAAATTAACAATAGTACTATTTTTAAATAATATATGTATATTTTGCAATATATTTTGTACTCAATCAATTTGTGAATGATAAAAAACGAATACGGACTAAAACATCAAAATACAAAATTTTAAATATAAAAAAAATTATTTTGGTTTGATAATTAAATCTTTAAGCAATGTTTAACATGTTTTATAAAAATAAAGTTTAGTTATATTTGACAAAATTATATTTAGAATTATTGAATGAACTGCCAAATTTGAACAACCAAATCCAAACTTCAGCCCTTTTTGTAACTTCGTACAAGTGACTAAATTTTAAACACTTTAAATATATGCTATGTTTTAAATATATCTATCCTAAAAGTGGCTACTTTTGTCACTCGCCATTAATTGTCTGTCTACAAATTAGAGAGTAAAAATAGCACGATATAGCCAGTTTTCGGAATTGTCATTCAAAAATAGCCAGCGTTGACGAAGTCAATGAAAAATAGTCACTATTTTGCTACAACAGAGACCGGTCCAGCATAATATACTGGAGTTCGGTGCACCTGTGTATGAATTCTAGCATATTATGCTGGACCGGTATACTTTGCTGACTCTAGTATAATATATTGGAGACTGGAGCGTCGGTGTTCCAAACTCCAGTACATTATACTGGACAATTATACTTGCTGGAACTCCAGTATAATATGCTGGAGTTAAAGCATAAACATACTTATGCTGAAACTCCAGTATAATATACTGGCGTATATTCCGGATTTTGAACAGTATTTTGGCTCAGATTTATCTTTACATGAAAAGTGGCTAAATTTCGATTACTTTTGAAACTGGGTTATTTTTGAACGACCAGTTATAAATCTGGGCTATTATCACTTTATTCAGAGTCAAAACTCATCAATGAAGCTAAAGAACTTTACTTTATGATAAGGGAAGACAAAAAGTTTCCATCTTTATCAGCTTTTAATGTGTTTCTTGAATCTTTGAATAGTTTGAGACATTACAAAGTGACCCTTGAAGTGTTTGATGATGTAGTGAGTTGGGGTATAAGGGTTGATAGGTTTAGTTATGGTAAAGCTATTCAATCAGCTGTGAAATTGGGGGATTTAGGTAAAGCTTTGGAGTTGTTGAATTGTATGAGAAAGGATAAGTTGAGTTTAAATGATTTTGTGTATAATGTAGTGATGGGTGGGTTGTGTAAAGAGAGGAGAGTTGGGGAAGCCCGGAAACTGTTTGATGAAATGCTTGAGAGAAGAGTCTCACCGAGTAAAGTGACTTATAATATTCTTATGGATGGGTATTGTAAAACGGGGAAGTTGGAAGAGGCTTTTAAGTTGAGAGAAAACATGAAGAGTGATAATGTGGAGCCGAATATTGTGACGTTTAATACATTGCTTAGTGGACTTTGTAAGTTGGGGAAGATGGAGGAACCTGATTGTGTTGTGGAAGGGTTATGGATTTGTACCTGATGGGTTTACTTATAGTATACTTTTCGATGGGCATTCACGACGTGATGATGTTAGTTCTTCGTTGGCGTTGTATGAAGAAGCGGTTAAGAAAGGGGTACATATGAATGAGTACACAAGTAGCGTTTTGTTGAATGGCTTGTGCAAGAAAGGGAAGACAAATAAGGCTGCAGAGATTTTGAAGAAGTTGATGGAAAATGGGCTTACTCCTACTGAGGTGTTGTTTAATACCATTTTGAGTGGCTATTGCAAAGAAGGCAACATGGAGAAGGCTTATTCAACTATTGACGAAATGGAAATTTCCGGGGTGAAGCCAAGCTGCATCACATTTAATACTATGATCACGAAATTCTGTGAATTGGGTATGATGGATGAGGCAAAAGAATGGTTAAGGTAAATGCTTGAGAAGCCAGTTTCCCCTAATGTACAGACATATAACATCTTAATTGATGGATACGGGCGCAAACGGGAATTCACGAGGTGTTTTGAGATTCTTGAGGAGATGGAAGATAATGGATTGAAGCCTAACGTTATTACATATGGTTCGCTAATCAATTCTTTGTGCAAGGATGGTAGGCTTCTTGATGTTGATGTAGTCCTAAATGATATGATCAGTAGAGGGGTTAAACCAAATGCACAGGTCTATAATACGCTTATAGATGGACATTGTATGAGAGGAACAATGAGTAATGCTTTTGTATGTTTCGAGAAGATGGTAGAAAGTGATATAGAAACAACACTGGTTACATACAACACTCTATTAAATGGGCTTTGCAAAAAGGGTATGATCAAAGAAGCCGAGGATTTGGTTGTGCATATTTTACTCAAAGGTTTAAATCCAGATGTTATCACGTACAATTCTTGGATGTCTGCATATTCAGATGCAGGGGACACTGGAAAGTGTTTCCAAATGTATGAGAAGATGAAAACCTCTGGCATAAAACCTACTATGAACACAATTCATCCTCTAATTAGAGTGTGCAAAAAGGAAAAGAGTGAACTGGTGCTGATCGACAAAATTGTTCAAGAAATGGCCGAGATGGATCTTTCTCCCGACCGAATGGTATATAACGAGCTCATCCATTGCTATGTGCTGCATGGGGAGGTTCAACAGTCACTTGCCATGCACATAGAGATGGTGGAACGAGGAATTCCTTCTGACAAGAAGACGTACAATAGCTTGGTTATGGTGCATTTGAAAGAGGGAGAATGTGAAGAAGCAAAGAATATTATTGATCAGATGAAGGCTAACAATATTGTTCCCAATGATGAAACTTATAATATTCTGATAGAAGGGCATTGCAAACTTAAAAATTTTCTTGGCGCATACATGTGGTACAGAGAGATGCTTGACAATGGTCTTCTCCCGGTAGCCAATATCTGTAATGAGCTAGTATCTGGCCTTAGAGAGGAAGGAAGATTGCAAGAGGCACAAATTATATGCTCAGAAATGAGTTCTAAAGGAATTGAAGAGTGCAATACAAATGAGGATCTTTCTGCTGTTGGGAGAGCGTAGGACAAAAAAGACATTCTTCTCCAGCTCTTCAGTTAAAAACGTCGGCAGCAAATGAAAAGCTTGTAATATATTCAAGATTCTGTGTATTCTTGTAATTTATTTCCTCATTGATACTCATTAACATATGTATTCTCGATACTTGATGAGATGAATTTCATAGTTGTATAAGTTATTCATGTCAAATTCAACCTGATCATTGTCTTTTCTGAGATATCTGTATTTTTGGCTCCCATTCATTGTCTTCCGAAATTACTTTTGGATCCTATGGAAATTAATTGAAGTGCATATTAGATGTTTTACATAACAATAAGAGAATCTCTGTCATGAAGAGAGTTATACCAAATCAAAAGTTTATTTAGTATATGCGCAAGTCCGAAGCAGGACACATTCATCTTGACTCAAAAACCAAGTGATATGCAGTCTGGCTATGAATGTGTTGGCGAGAAAGATGAGAAAGTATCAGATCAGCATGAAGAGCTGGGTAAAGTTGCTGAAGATTCAACTGACAATGTTGATGGCCCTGTGGATCTTTATGCCAGAGGTGCTGCATGGCGACAAAAATTATCGTGGACACAATTGGTTCGTGATACCACCAGTTCTTTTAGCATTTCACAGGTTTTGCCTGGTGTAAGTTATCCAAAATCAGATTTGGCAATGATGGGAGAGACTGTAAAGGTTCAAAAATGTAGCAGCACGGGTAAAAGCAATTTCCAAGATACTTCTACATCTGAGGAAGGGACCAAAGCTGATTCTCTCAGTGTCCCTGGAACTAGTAGTGGGGGTACCATAGTAGAGGAGCAGAAGAATGTTCATCTCAGTAAAGAGCTTCCACATGTGGATAATTATCAGCAGAAAGGAGAAGTAATGAATGAAGCCTTGGCTCCAACTCCTGAAAAGAAACACCTATCTGCACCAAAACAAACATTTGTAGGAGATACTAGCTTCAGTGATACTTGTTCTTTCATGAGGAGTGCTGCTTCAATGAAAGAGTGGACAAAAACAAAAGCAGCACTGAGTGGGTCACTCAAGAAGAAGGCTAACGAGAAAAAGTAGTGGAGATTTCAGAATAGCTTCTTGTAAGATGTGACTGCTTCAAGTTACGTAGACGATGCATTAGGTGCGTAATTCTAATTTCAGGTCAGTTGTCCTATTCTTGAAGCTACAGTTTTCCATTTTAAGTTTATATATGGATGTTCTTTTGTCTGTAGCCTGAGTTGCATTGTAGTATGCTTATGGAAAGTTATAAAGAGAAGATGCCGTGTATTTCGAAAAGCAGAGATATCAAGATATTAGAGCGTTTGGTAAATGATTGTTCCTTTGGCACCAGTCTTATGAAGGCCGCATGCAAAAAGTCATTGCGGGTGCTAAACTGTGGCAGCTCTTATAATATGTCAAGCGAAGTACTAAATACCATAGCACTATGAGATTCCTTTGATTTTTGTCATATGCCTAAAACATAGAATATACAGATTTTGGTTGTTGATCTCAAACTTTTATTTGAGTAGAAAGAGCAGAAATTTTGAGAAGCTGTCAAATGACTTTGGATCGAAGAGACTGCAGAATTCTGTAATTGAATCTGTATAGCCATCTCGGGAAGGCAATTTTATTTTTTTTTTCCCATTGGATGAATTTTCTTTTTTTGAGAAATGTTGGATGAATAATTCTTGAGCAACAAAATGTTTAAGACTTGAGAAAAGACTAGTAACAACTGAACCGTCTCACCTGAATGCCAAAACTGTTGAATTTGTGTAATCCCACTTTGTTTTTGGTTTTTTATTATTTAAATTTATAAAATTTGTGTAGTCACTTAATTATAACTTTAGTACATTCTCTCATGTGTGAGCCTGATCTTTTTTCATTTGCAAACACATGATTTTTTTATTTTTTTACTTTTGGATAAAGGGTGATTGTGAGACTCCAATTGATGGTTGTGACTTGTGAGTCTTGATATCAGGAGCTCTACGTAAAATATTCTTATTTGGGGTGTGAGGGTGACGAGGGAGGAATAGGTGTGCCTAAGTGATCCGTGGTTGGTTGTTTATTAGTTATTACTAGGATTGTTTTTTTATAAGTGAGGGATCGTGGTGAAATCATAGATCGCCTATGTGTTACCTAGAAACCGCCTATGTATTATTTATGATCGCCTAAGTGACCTTTGATTGATTGTTTATCAGCTGCACAATAAATTGCAACACAATAAATGGCACCGGACACAAAAATAGCATAAATTGCACCTAAAAAGCCACACTAAACACCAAATTAATAGAAACTACCTAACCTGATTAGCTTTAGGGGTTCTTAGTAAAGTAACTAAGGTTAATAAGCTTGGATTGAACTTGTAGTTGATTTGCTTAGCGGTTCTGCTACTATAATGTTATACTGAAATTGTTCAAATCTTATAAGATGGTGATAAGGAGTAGTTTATATGAGTGTCATGTATTTATGCGTTACAGGAACTTTACTCTTCAGTTTTTTTCCAGATTGAATGCAACAGTGGTCAAATGAGGAGGTCAAAAATATTGTGGCGTATATAAAGCCGAGCAGTTGATGAACTCTGGAGATCTGTATTTCAGCAATAAGGTTAGGCAGTTCACAATCAATATGTTTGCTTGTTGTCATTTAGATTCAAATGGAGGGCATTTTCATTTTCTGGTTCCACGATGTGTCCATGGATCAGGAATTTTCTTCTAATGCTGAGTAGACAGTAATAGTGGCCAAAAAAGCTAGAAGCTTTTGAGTTCTGTATTCAGGTAGTACTTTTTTGCAAAATTATATATTTTGTTATATGGAGTCTTAATTAAGTTTATGCATTGAACAGACAATTGTCTCCATTCCTACTGACTACTGTCTCCCATAGGAAGAAAAAAGAAAAGGAATTTTGCCGAAGGAAGAACAAAATCGAATGTTTTTGTTTGTTGAATTTCGATATCGTGAAGACCTTATGTGCTAATCTTTGCAAAATGACTCCTTAGTATGCAGCTTTATAGTACCATTGGCGCTCTGCTCTTATCTTATTCTTCTTTCGATGGTTTTAATGGACTTTGCCAGTCTTTCCAAGTATGATCGAAACAGTTTTCATTTTAAGACCTTTATCTTCTTAACCAATTGTTAGTACTGCCTTCTTTTTTTTCCAAAACCGCCCAGCTTGGTTTTTGGGTGGGAAATGCTATATATGCTTAAACATGATTACATAAGGAAGAGGACTGGTTGTGTATTAATACCCCATGTAGCACTGGTTCTTAGGATGTCAGAAGTTGATAAAATTCCTTCCTTTTATATTCATGAATTCAAGAAACTCATTAGCACGGTGACCGTGGTAAAACAAATTGAAATGGCCAATTGAATTCTTATTTACTTATCTAAATCTTGTTTTCCAACCAAACTTTTGTACTCGTTAATTCCAAACTACTCATTTAGAATGGTGACAATGGTAACAAATCGGAGTTGGAAGAAAGTATCATTATTTGTAACTTTGGACTTATAATTCAGGAATGCATGTGCTATAGGCAAGGAGTGTATATATGCAGAAATTTGCAGGTGACATTCTATTCTATCCAGATTCTGTAGAAGTTAGAACAAACTCTAGAAACGTGCTCGGGAGGTTCAGGCTCCAAAAACTGCTGTGGTTGATCAAGTGAAATCTCCAGGGAGAAATGTTGTTCTTGCTGTGATTGTTCTAAGAAGAGATCGAGAAGCCTGAAATTCATTACTTCAAAGATCATCCTATGTATTCTGTTTGCATTCTGTTTTAATGATACTTAGACGGTTTAAAGGCAACATGTGATTCATCCTGTAATCATCTACTGCAAAGATACATTGAGTTAAAAACTATTTGTTTGACAGTTTAGTTTTCAACCCTTCCTGAGCCGAGGGTCTATTGGAAACAACGTTCTCTACCTGCATTAGGTAGGGGTAAGGTTTGCGTAAAGACTACCCTTCCCATACCCTATCTGTTGGGATCATACTGGGTCTGTTGTTGTTGTTATTGTTCTTACCGTGTTTATATCTTTTGTTGTTGGTAAAGAGAATAACCATATTAATTAATGAACGTATATGCAGATTATTATACAAAAATAAGCTGCATTTCAGTAGCATGAGAAATTATCCAGGTTGGCTTACAAACTAGTTAAAATTGAATCATATCATTTTGAGATTATTATAACATTTGCTTAGAAATTTTTGCCATTCAATAATGCGAATTTTGTCCGAAAACTATAGATTTATAAACGAAAAAAAAAAATAGGAATAAAACCAAAGAATATACTCCTACATAAAATTGGAGGTTTGGAGCGAAGAGTTATGTTTTGCTACATTCATCTCATAATTTTATTAGAAAATAGGGGGTAAGAGGAGGGGAAAAGAGAATTATAAGGTGGAGAATCGAACTCTTACTAATAAGGTGAAAGTTAAGTAAGAAAGTTCACATAACGAACAAGCTGAAATTTACCATCTCACACTTAATTTATGGACATCTTTAAATAATTTGGATGACCATGAATAATTGTTTGATAAAAATTACATGCTTAAATTAAAGTTTAAATCACGTCAATTATCAATTCAATCACAATCTAACCTGCACGAGATTCAAGAAAGTACGTAATAATAATCTAAGGGAGAGGGATAAGAGCTAAAATTGTAGAATAAAATGTAGGATTATTTTATCCCACATTGATTGAACTTTTGATTTTGGTAACCGAATATTCTTTATACTATAATTATGGTATTATTTTTATATCACACTCATTGTGGGATAATAATTTGGAAATTACTAGTTTCGAAATAAACAATAAAATGACACATTAGCCCTTCTCCAATCTCCCAAAGTCTTTTAAGAAAGATAATGTTAAAATTAAAAATAAAATTTTAAATTCAAATTTATCTATTGTAAAATTGAATACATATTTTATATTACATCTGTATATCTCATTTTTAATTTAATAAATCAAACAACTATCAATAAAGATATATTCACATTATATTTTTATTTAATTTCTTATTATAATCCAAATATAATCTGTCCAAATGAAGGGACCCAATAAGAGACAACATTTTTCCAGAACAGTAAGGGAAAAAAATGAAAGGACTGCATTTGATAAAGAGAATTCACTAGATATTGTAGGGAACCATAATTGACCAACTAAGTGGGAATAATTAATTCTAATTATGTCAAATAATAAACAACTTTTTCTTAATTTTAAAAAGACAAATGATTATGAGTCTTAGGTGTCTAATACAGGCCAAAAAAAACAGGACTATGTTAGTGGAAATCATGTAAGAAACACAAAAATTGTGCTTAGTATAGTACTAATAATGGAGCAACTGTGTACAAAAGGGATCTGTAAAATCACATTTCTCATTCTATCCATCTTCTCTATAATCATTAATAAGTATTTGTACATATTCTCAAATTTCAGCTGACTCTTTTCTCTTTCTTCTCCACTGTTAGAAGCAATTCTTATTGGGTTAGTTTCTCTCCATTTCTTAACTTATATATTGATACTTGTATATATGCATATGGGTTCTTGTTGTTTTTGTGTTTTGTATGTGGGATTTGGTGCATTAAGCTTGGAGCTTTAATTTTTGACTTGGGTTGAAGAAAGAAATCAAGAATTCATTTTTATTGCTCTTTCTCATCTATTTCTTGAGCTATATGTAGTTCTTGTTGTTTTTGTGTTTTGTATGTGGGATTTGGTGTATTAAGCTTGGAGCTTTAATTTTTGACTTGGGTTGAAGAAAGAAATCAAGAATTCATTTTTATTGCTCTTTCTCATCTATTTCTTGAGCTATATGTAGTTCTTGTTGTTTTTGTGTTTTGTATGTGGGGTTTGGTGCATTAAGCTTGAAGCTCTAATTTTTTGACTTGGGTTGAAGAAAGAATCAAGAATTCATTTTTATTGCTTTTTCTCATCTATTTCTTGAGCTATCTGCATATACATGTATATATGTATGTGGGTTTTAATTGGTGTGTATAAGTTTTGTGTTTTTATGTGGATTTTGATGCATTAAGCTAGAAGCTTTAATTTTTGACTTGTGTTTCTTGATTTATCTATAAATACATGTATATATGTATATGGGTTTTTATGGGTGTGTGTTGGTTGTATGGTTTTTTTTTTTTTTTTTTTTGGATTTTTGATGCATTAAGCTAGAAGCTTTAATTTTTGACTTGTGTTTCTTGATTTATCTATAAATACATGTATATATGTATATGGGTTTTTATGGGTGTGTGTTGGTTGTATGGTTTTTTTTTTTTTTTTTTTGGATTTTTGATGCATTAAGCTTGAAGCTTTGATTTTGACTTGGGTTGACCTATATGATTTCAGGTAGTGTAGAATTTTTTGGTTGATTCAGTTGAAAAAAGGAAGCTTTTTGGTGGGGCAGAATTGGTTGCTTTGCAGAGGAAGTTTGTGTTTCGAATTGCTGCTAAAGGTGCTTCCTTTTGTTGATTCTGAACCTTATTGCTATTTTCTTGATTTGTAACGGAGCTTAACTAAAATGTATATGGTGTTGCCTTATTTTGGAATAAAATTGACCTGAATAGAGTGGAATGGAAATAGAGGATTCATATAGCCGACTCCAACTAGTTTATGATTGAGATGTTGTTGAATAATTGATATTCTAGTTTCTGTTGCATATATTAGGAAGCATTTGGTGGTTTGAAAGTGAAATGTTAATGAGTGACAATTTTGTTGCACTTCTTTAAAGCTTGTCTATTTCTTTCTATTTTTAGTTTCGATAGCTCAGATATCTTCTAAGAAGCAGAATACACTTGAATTGACCATCTGGTTCTTTCAGCCAAATGCAGATCTTGAAGCAGCAGAAATTGTGATTTGCCGGGGTGTGCTTCAAACTCGAAGCTAATATTAGTGTGATGGGCTGTGAATGTTCTAAATTTGCCTTGTGTTGCTGGACAGGACAGAGTGGCCCCATTCACGAGGCTCAAAATCCTGGTATATATATCTTTTATTGTAAGCTTTTCTATAGAACTTTCCTCCTGCAGTGTTTAATGTACTTGTTACTTTTTTTATTCTGGTTTCATGCTTCAAATAGATGAAGAAAAAGATGAAGTTAGTGATTTGCCTGCATTCCGTGAGTTTACGTTTGAGCAGCTCAGGATAGCTACTTCTGCATTTGCTGTAGAGAATATAGTTTCGGAACATGGTGAAAAAGCTCCAAATGTTGTATATAAAGGAAAGCTGGAGAACCAGAGGCCGTTTGCCGTTAAACGCTTCAACAGATCTGCGTGGCCTGATTCTCGGCAGTTTTTAGTAAGTATTTGGCTGGCATTGTTCCAGTTCCGAAAATTATTAGTTCCTTCTTATATTATGTACCTGATGCATCAACAACAAAATGGAAACAGAGAAATGAATGCATGCCATAAGCTCTGGTTTTTTAGTGCTCACACTCTTTTGAATATGTTTGTAGCCTGTAGTTAACTTGTGTCTCATCTGCTGACAAATGCTTAACTTAGTTAAGCTATGGATTCGAACTTGATTTTCTCTCTTCATATGGGAAATTTCAGGAAGAAGCAAGGGCCGTCGGTCAACTCCGCAACAATAGGTTAGCAAATCTTNTACTAGATTTGCTGAACTAATTTTATCTAAGGGATTTTTGGCTTAACTGATAACTTCAAGCGGGATGAGACTGCACCTAGATTTTCTTTTTCAATTCTAGCCAGACAAAAAGAGCAGATCCAACCTCTGACCTTGTTCTGAAATTTCCAAACAAAGCCTTCGGTTCATGCACTGTTCCATTTTAGAGAATGACTTCCTGTTTCCTTTTTATGGTTTTCCCTGTTAGTATCCATCTTAGAGAATGACTTCCCATTTGCACGCAAGGGTGTGATCTAGTGGTCAATGAATGGGAGGAGAACGTGAGGTCTCAGGTTCAAACCCCAGCGCATGCAAAAAATACTAGGTGAGCCTTAGCGGGCATAATTATTTAGTACCTGTGTTGGGAGGTAGCAGGTACCCAGTGGAATAGTCGAGATGCACACAAGCTGGGCCTGGACACCACCGTCAAAAAATAGAAGAAGAAGAAGAAGAAGAAGAATGACTTCCCATTTCTTTTGCTTTATAAAAGAGTTACTCTTTTTTTGTAAAATTTTGTTCTCAGGTATATTTGCTTAAATTCTGAAGTGAGATTGTGTTTGCTTACTAGCATGTCCATACATGGAGTCATTATACAGTCTAAAAGAATCATCCTTTTTCTTGTTTAACCGTAAATTCAACTGCTCACAGAGCAATTCACTGCCACTGCTAGTCTGCTACTGCTGTTGCTTTCTCTTTCCACTAGGATTAGTTTAAGAAGAGAGAGTGGGAAGCAATGACTATGATAATGAAGTCAAAGAAACAGATGAGGTTAATCAGTTTGGAAAAGTTAAACTTGGTACCTTTCCTTTTCTTTTCTGTATATATATTTTTCTTTTTCGCATGGTTAGTAACTGTGAAGAATTTGAAAGGTAGAACCTGACCATGAGCTTTTCCAAACTTCTCCTAGAGAGAACTTACGGGAAATGGAAAATGAGATTGGATGAGATGGGATACCTATTTGCTTTAATTGCTTTAAGGAAGATTGGAAAGTCATGAATTTCCTTCAAAAGATAACATATTCTTCGATAATGTTCGGTCGACTCATCTGTGAGAGTGTTAACTCAGGGGATACACAACCAATGAAGTGGGCAATGCGATTAAGGGTGGCCTTGTATGTTGCACAGGCTCTTGAATATTGTACAGGCAAAGGGCGTGCTCTTTATCATGATCTTAATGCTTATAGAATTTTGTTCGATGAAGTAAGTTGATAGTTACATCTTCATTTTTTTTATTGCTTATTTGTATTGTTAGATTTCACAATTCAAGTACTCAAATGCCTATTATGGTCTCCTCCGTATATTTCACAGGATGGTGATCCCCGACTCTCTTGTTTTGGTTTGATGAAAAACAGCCGAGATGGAAAAAGTTACAGCACGAACTTGGCATTTACTCCTCCTGAATATTTGAGAACAGGTAAGAGCTACTTTAATAAACAAACGCGGCCATCTTAGGTGATAGTGTTCTTTCACGTCTAATGATTCACACACTAATCAACCACAACCAACTGAGCTTCTTGATGTTCTTCTTTTGTAACACTTTAGTTGTCAACACTTTTCTATTTACAAGATTAAAGGGAATGTTTTCTATGAGTTACTTTCAGTTATTAAAAACAAAAGGATCCACTTTGACCATTACAGCATTCGTGTATAGGATTTTGTTGCAATCCATTCAGTGTGGAGGGCTCATTGAATTCATGATGTTAATTACATTTATCCTTTCTTGAATTATTGAGCGTGTTATAGTTCGTTCACTCAGTTATTTTGAACTTTTGTAGGAAGAATCACCCCGGAGAGTGTGATATTTAGCTTCGGGACACTTTTGCTTGACCTTCTCAGTGGAAAACACATCCCTCCTAGCCATGTATGGTTCTCCTGCTAAATTTATTTATTTATTTCTTATTTAAGTGACCCCTACAACCATATGGCTCACACTTTATCGTGACAAGAAAACATGACGATAAGTGTTCTACAAAATCTTGGCAAAATTGTTAAAATCGGACATCAACTTTAAAAAGGGCTGGGGTGCTTCCTCTCTTACTTAAGAAGTGTACTGAAAACGAAGATATTGTGATTTATATTTTCAAGAGTTTAGGTGAAATATATCAAATAATTATTCAGGATGAAAGATGGTTATCAAAATACAGGCATTCATGAATTAACACAATTCTTTCCGGTGCTCTTGTTCCTTCTAATATGTATCTGCTTATGTCAGGCACTGGATCTCATAAAAGACCGAAATCTTGAGATGCTAACTGATTCTTGCTTGGAAGGTCAATTTTCTACAGATGACGGAACTGAATTGGTACGGATTGCTTCAAGATGTCTACAATACGAGCCTCGTGAGCGGCCGAATCTCAAGTCATTAGTTGCTGCATTATATCCTCTTCAAAAAGAAGCTGAGGTTTGTGCCCAGGCATTATTCTTCCAGCAATATCTTTTCTCTAAATACTGCTATGATACAGTAGTTATCCAAAATTAGTGAAAGCAATAACTAAAATTTGGTGAGAAGCATCTAGGTTACATTTATTTTCCATAAACTTGATTTCACTTATCTACATCGGCTGATAGTAAGATGCCATAAATCATCTATTGCATAACAAAATTTAGCTGGATTGAAGTTTTAGTAAATTGTTTTCAGGTTCCGTCTCATGTATTGATGGGTATATCACGTGATGGCGAAACTATGTCTCTATCTCCACTTGGTGAAGCTTGTTTGAAAACTGACTTGACTGCCATCCATGAGATTTTAGACACGCTTGGGTACAAAGATGATGAGGGAGCAGCTACTGAGGTTTGTCTATCGATTATTATTCTTGGAACTGATGTTCTGGTCTTGTAAATGCATGTTTTCTGAATTTCTATAACTTGTTCCCATTCTATACAACTAAAGCTGTTTCTTAATATAGGGTACTTGAGCATGATAACATAAATTATTAATTCATAACCGAGTAGCTTTGGGGAGGACTAGAGTGTCAGGCTACGGTTTGGCCGAACCCAGTAACTTTGGTTCAAACTATATTTATCTTAAAAAATCCACGAAATACGTATAAATTATTAATTCAGAACCCAGTAACTTAAAAGGATTAGAATCCCGAACCCACATTTCAAGTCCTGGCTCTGCCATGCATGTGATTCGTGTGTTTCAACTTGTTGATCATTCATATTGTGATCATATCCAAGCTTATATGTTTTCGAAAGCGAAATATTAGCATCTCATGATAATCACCCTTTTTTTCTTGTTTGCAGCTTTCATTTCAGATGTGGACAGATCAGGTGCTGGAAACATTGAACTCAAAGAAAAAGGGTGATGCTGCTTTCAAGAACAAAGATTTTAGAGCTGCCATTGAATGCTATACGAAGGTTGAAAATCCGCCATAATGTTTATGCTACATTGTACCATCTAATGTGGATTATCTATTTTTGAACTTATATCTTTATTTAATTACTTTGGGTTGCTCTTGCAGTTTATTGATGTTGGAACCATGGTTTCACCAACTGTGTACGCTCATCGGAGTCTTTCTTATCTCATGAGTGATATGCCACAAGAAGCCCTCAACGATGCAGTACAAGCACAGGTAATATCTCCTGTTTGGCATATCGCATCGTATTTGCAAGCTGCTTCTCTTTTCACATTGGGGAGGGAAAACGAGGCACTAGTCGCACTTAGAGAGGCTGCAATACTCGAAGAAGAGAAGAACGCCGCTTCTTGAAATTGGCGAATGGAGCTTGTATGTATGATCATTACATTATAGATTGCTCCCTTATTTACTTGACACATAAATCACAAAAGTATCTTCTTCTTTTTGCGGCAGAAATCTAGAGATGTTGTCGATCTTTCATCTGCATCCATGCAACAACAACAACATACCCAGTATATTCCCACGAGTGGGGTAAGGGGAGGGTAGTGTGTACGACCCCTACCTAATGAAGGTAGAGAGGTCACCTACATGCATGCAATGGTTAGTAAATTGTGTCATAGTTATAGAGAATTCTTTTGCAATAATTCAATGCCATTGGTTCCTAAAGACACAAGATCTATGGAAAGGATGGAGAGAGACTAGCATGTTGTATTTTATGTACAGTGATATATGGTTCCTGAACTGTTTTTCTTTCTTCTCTTTTTTCTTTCCCTCTTGGGATAACTGGTTTCTACCTATAATTTCTCTCTTTATGGTTTATTGTGGGGTTAATTTTACATTTATTTATTTTAAGTATTTGCAATTGACACAACTTGCAGAATATTGTCTGTAATGTTGTATTCTTTTCTCAAGAATCTTGCAGTTTTAGTGCTTTGTGCCATGGTATTCTGCATTACTTGCAAAAGTCTGATTAAGAGATATAATAGCGTTTTTTTTTGGTTTTCCACCCGGTATCCGGTACCCGCATTGGAGCTTGATTATATTTGGATTCGCGCCGCGTAGGGCCCCATTCGGGGGAAGCGCTCCCTTCCAAGGATTTTTCCATACTCAGGGCTCGAACCCGAGACCTCTGGTTAAGGGAGAGCAGTCATATCCACTGCACCACATCCTTTGGTGGTAGATATAATAGCGTTAGTAGCAACAACAGGTAGCATAGAGGCGACAAAATTTTACTTAGTGGTTGTATAACTCTGTCATACCCCAGTTATTTTTTACTTAAGTTTGACTCCACGTACAGTCTTATAGTCTATTTGCCGAGCTTATGGGAAGCCAAAAGTATTAATTTCTTTTCAAAAAGTACTTATTTTAGAGAATTGAGGTGTTTGGCTAAGTTTATCAAGAAAAAATAAACGTTTCTGAGCAATAGCATAAACTATTTTTTAGAAGCTAAGTGCTTTTTCCCGACAAGCACTTTTGGAACCTTGGTTAAGCATAAATTGCTGCTTTGCTATTGGCAAAATTACTTTTCAAACTGATTAGCCAAACCCAAATTGATTTTATCCAAAATTACCTTTTTGAAAGGCACTTCTGATAGAAATTATTGTTTAAAATAAGCAGATTTCGAAAGCTTGACCAAAATGACTATTAGATGTTTAGCATGGACTTTTGAGTTACTTCTCTATTTATAAATAATAAGCAATATTTGTTTATGATAATGGATTAATAATAATAATAATAAGAAAATAATTATAATAGTAAGGAGCATTAATAATATAGGCTAAATTACATAAATAAAGAAAGAGAAATTTTCATAAAGCACTATCTTTTAGTAGTAATTAGCCATCTATAGATACCATTTGCTATATTGATTATAAATATCTTTTCTGTGGTTATAAGATGTATTTTATGTATTTAAGCTATTGTATTTATGAATACAGTAGCAAAAATATGAGTGAATCAGGGAAGTCAAGCTAATCAGTTGTTGTATTCGAGTGTATTCATGGGGTGAAACATGAGATTATAGCTGGACTGATTATTGTATTCGACCGTATTCGACTGTATTCACGACGTGAAATAGGGAATTACACTGTTTTTAAAACGAAAAGTGAATCAATTAACATAATAGACTCCTAATATAA